GGTTCTTCATGGTAGGGTTCCTAGTTTTCTTAGGTAATTGGGCAGTTCAATTGTTTTCTTTGTACTACAAGGTGAACTTTAAACAACAGTGCCGACCCACATACACTTCAGTCCAAACTACGAAGGAATGTAAAGAATCTTGGGATACACCATTCCAAAAGCTAGCTCAAAAGGTGGGAGTGCTCAAGACCTTATAAACTTCACATTAGTTGCTCTCAACACGCCCCCTCACACGAGAGCCCACTGTGCTTGAAGGGTGGACAATGCACAGGCCCACCTACCTGAACGAACGAAGAAATTCCACTACAAAGAAAGTGGGGGACGGTGAGGTTCGCACTTGGGACATGAGGCTCTGATACTATGTAAAGAACCTTGGCATACATCACTCTAAAAGCTAGTTCAAAGAGTGGGAGTGCTCAAGGCCTTATAAACTCCACATTAGTTGGCTCATACAACCAATGTGGGACTATATATCTCAACTTTGTGCTTCCACTTTAAAGTGGGGGGCGGTGAGGATCGAACCTCAAGCTCTGATACCATGTAAAGAACCTTGTGATACACCACCCCAAAAGCTAGCTCAAAGGGTGGGAGTGCCCAAGGCCTTATAAACTCCACATTAGTTGGCTCATATAACCAATGTGAGACTATATATCTCAACACGCCCCCTCACACAAGAGCCTTCTTGGCTTGAAGCATGGATTATGCAACAGGCCCAATCTTTGCCTTTTGTGCTTCCACACTTTAAAGTGGGGGGCGGTGAGGATCGAACCTCAAGCTCTGATACTATGTAAAGAATCTTGGAATACACCACTTCAAAAGCTAACTCCAAGGTGAGAGTGCTCAAGGCCTTATAAACTTCACATTAGTTTCTGTCAACAAATAAAAAGTTTTCCGGGTGGGCATCAAACTTAGATGTGTTGGCAATTGCGAACAGTATAGCTAATAAAAAATAGATTTTATTAATGCAAGTGAATTTTCTTTAGTAAATTAGTCACGTTTTCTTATATAAACTAATATATATATATATATATATATATATATATATATATATATATATATATGCACAAAAGAACTGTATAGCATAAAGTTAAAATAATCCAACATCCAGTTAAATTTAATAAGGATTTAATTTTGATGCGCTGATAAAGGAAAATTTTCTTTACATTATGATTTAGTCATGCATTATCAAATTATTTTAAAAAAATTGACTATTTCAACTATTACTTTGGAAGTTACTTTTTTTTTTCAATAATGTGCGAATACATTATTGGATGATAATTTGCGCATCAAATTTAAACTTATTTAATAAATATGTGTTAGAAAAGTCTAGATTATGAACAAAATAAAATAAGGGTTTGGCTTGCAAGTTTTAGTTCGTGTTACAATAATCTCACGCACACTTCCACAAGAAGCACCTCACATTGTACTTAATTGACCACTAGTAAAACTACTTTTTTTTTATACATACTAGTAAAAAAAACTTAATTAAAAAAATTTGTATGCTTAACCATCCTTTTAAAAGGAAATAAATGTACCAAAAAAAAAAGGAAATGTAGTAATTGATTTGCATCATAACAAAAGTAATTATCATTCTATATAAATGACCTTACCACTAATCTTCAAGGACAATTTGAAAGGGATTTGAAAATAAATTTATCTCCAACAACTTCAAAATGATATCATTTTGGGACTTAGAAGAAAAAATACAGGATATTTAAGTAATTTTACTTTTCTTTTATATCATGTATTTTATTAAAATATCTTATATTTTTTCCCTCAAACTCTAAAACGACATTGTTTTGAGATTAAAAAAGACAACTTCATCTTTAGTAAAAACATTAATCCCTTATAATAGTGAGTTACCGCCTTGCATGAACTTAATTATATTCCTATATGGAATACTGTACCACTGATTTTTACAAGTTTTTTTGCAAAATAAATAGAATAATGAAATTGGTGGTTAAACATAAGTTAATATGTTTAATTGATTATTCAGGTGTAATGTGAGATAACGCGTGTATTTTTTTTTTTTTTTTTTGGAAACTAATAACGCGTGTAGAAATGTACGTAACACTATTCGGGTCGCGCGCATATATTATAATGGATCGAGGAGACTCTAATAATAACCAGTGCAGCAAATCAAACTAAAATTATGCGGTTAAGGGAAATTTAAAAATTTAAATGAATTATTTACAAAATTATATTTGTGTACTTTTTTTTTACATCATCCCTCATTTCCCTTATTTTATATCTACTATTAACGCAGAGGCAATATGTTGACTGATTTGATTTCAGAATTTTGAATACGACTTGGCTTTGCTATCTCTAAGTGCATGACTTAAAATCCTTCTTTGATTATATCATGAAATCTATTGATGAATCCCAAATATGTGACTGAACATAATAATAAAAAAAAAGAAATTGGAAAAAACTGATGTCACAATTTTTTTTTCTTGTACTTGTCCATCTTCTTCTCTTTTTGGACAATTTGAATCTAATTTGTTATTATATCCAAATCCACCCCCCTCCCCAATTCAACATCCCAGCCCATCCCACAAAAAAATTGTTATTTCATTACTGGTCTCCACTTTTTTCTTCAGAGTCTACAACAACTTTAATTGGTGCATGTAGAATTAAATGAAAATAAAAAAAACTAATTGTGTTCCAATTGAATGAAAATAGAAAAAATAATTATTTCCATAATAACTGCTAATTAGACGTTAACAGAATGAAAATTATTAAATTACTCAATAATAACATTACACATCCTTTTGTGATTAAGATAGCAGTCATTAGGGGTGTTAACGGGCCGAGCCGAGCCGAGATTTGGTATTAAAAGACCAAGTCTGTGTTTAAATGTGTCAGTCTTACCAAGCCTGTTACCTGTTACGAATATAATTATCGGCATGTGGCCTGCCTTACAAAAAAAGAGAGCCTGATTTAGTCCGTTAACCTGTTAGAAAAAAATAAGACAACAAAAATTTATCTAAACAGAATATACAATCAACAACACTAGTAATTCCATAAATATTCATAAATTCAATGTATATCTAAATAGCATAATATAGAACAAAATATTCAAAAAGTCCGTTTAACTAATAAAATACTGGTGAAATGAATTGAGGGGAAGAGAGAGATGGATATTACAAATAATATAAAAAATATAAATAAAAATTAATATACTAGGCCAGCCTGACAGATTCCAAGGCCGAACTTTTGAATTGGAGCCTGAGCCCTTTTTACTAAACGAGCTTTTATACAAGTTCAAGCCTGGTTCCAACAACCAATATTAGAAATGTAAACTCAGGCATTCACGAGCTGAGTCAAAGGCCTCTGGCTCGTTTATCACCCCTAAGAGTCATTATCAAAAAGAAAAGAAAAAATAGCAGTGGTCATAGACTCAGTTATTTGGTTTTGTGGTGTGGCAGTGTAACAATAGAGGCGATAATGGGTGACTTTTCAAAGAAGAATTTTCCCTGACAAAGACAATACTCTATATATTGAGAGAAGCCTAATCTTGACACCAGATCTATAGTTTCTTTCTTCTTCTTCTTTTTTAGGTAATCAAAGTAAATTTTTTAATTGGGATGTGGAGTAAGGACTTGAATCTGAAGCTAGATCTTATTAGAACACCCTTGGAGTATTACCCTTCTTTTAGACGTGAAGCACCCTTGGAATATTTGTGTCTATCAAGTATCAAGCACTTTCACAGTCCGAGAATATATTAAAAGATTAAATTATTTATGATACTTAACTCTATCTCATGCGATTTGGGTGGACAATAATTTTAAGGAAAAATATTTCTGCATTTACTGCAGATAAGTTATCTGCATTTATTTCTAAAACGACATCGTTTTGATATTGAAATATTAAAAAATTATAAATATAAAGACTATTATAACACTGAAATAAATTAAAATTATAAAAACATCATGATTTCTGTCCAAAAAAACATCGTATTGAACTTACTGCAGATAACTTATCTGCAGTAACTACTGCAGAAAAAATTAACCCTAATTTTAAATGCAGCTGGGCAAGTGAATGTGAACACCCTCATTTATTTCCAATTCTGGCTGGAATACTCATGCACATTTTCAATTATTTAATAATTTAAAATAAAATCCTAAAATATATTTCTAAAGTATAAATAAATAAATTTAACATCATACATATATATATTACACATTTTTTAAAAATAAAATATTTATAAAATAAAAAAGTTAAAAATAGCTTAAATTCTATTTTGTAATAATTTACCTACACAAATACTTATTATTAGAATGAAATAAACTTTTTCAACAATTATTTTATCATTATTCATTATTGGTTCATTCATTAAAATTAATTGTCGTAAAATACTATTAAAAAAATTCTTCATCTCATCTCACAAAAAATAAATAAAATCATAATATATAATACAAATAAAATATTTAAGAAAAAAATTATTTCACAAATTCTAGTATGGTAATTGATATAATTTCCTTCACTACTTTCGTTTATTAAAGGGGCCATGGGTAACTTTTGTGGATTCTGAAGCAGGTTAAAATTTGGCCATTTTCACTTTTCGTGAAAGAAAAAAAATAAGAAAAAGGAAAAACTTATTAAGAATTATTTTCATCCATACTCATACTTAATTTGGCCATTTTCACTTAATTCTTATGATTATTTTTCATCCATACTCTTACTTAATATTATTATGACACGTCAACATTATTTTTCCCTGTATACATGTAGTCTGTTATAACTAACTTAGTTAGGATTAGAAGCTGTTAGTTAGTTATATAATTCGTTCTAGATTCTTCTTGTAATTAGCATATATATACTCTTCCTTGAAGAGTCTTGTACAGATTAACAAATAATGAATTTTCCATTCTTGAGATTCATGGATTCTGATATGGTATCAGAGCTCTGAAGAGAGCTCTGGTATCGCACCTTTCCTCTCCTTTCTGATTCATCTGTTATCAACCTTCCTTCCTCTCCTTCTCTTTGGTTGATCTTCAATGGCGATCCAGAGTGCTCTTCCAGATTATTTGTCGAATCCATCGAACTCACTATACCTCCATCCTAATGAGAATCCTTCCATGGCTCTCGTTGCACCTCCTCTCAATGGACGCAACTATCATACGTGGTTGTTTGCCATGAAGATGGCACTGCTTTCGAAGATTAAGCTTTGTTTTATGAATGGAGATTTTCCAGTACCTGATGCTAGTGATCCTCTGTTTCCCGCGTGGGAGCGATGCAACACTATGGTGTTGTCATGGATTCATCGATCCATGGATGAATCAATTTCGAGATCAATTCTGTGGATTGAACACGCCTTTGATGTTTGGCGTGATCTCTCTGAACGTTTTTCTCAATCTGACGTATTCAGAGTTGCAGATCTCCAAGAAGAGATTCATCGTCTGCAACAGGGAAGTAGAAATGTTGGTAAATACTTTACTGAAATGAAAACACTATGGGATGAGTTAGACAACCTCAATCCTTTGCCAAAGTGTTACTGTGGACCTCTTGATGAAATTCAAAGATCCAGAGAATGTGATCAAGTGATTCGTTTCTTAAAAGGTCTCAATGATCAATTCTCCCATGTGCACTCACAGATCATGCTAATTGATCCACTTCCAAACATGAACAAGGCATTTTCCCTTGTTACTCAACAGGAACGTCAGTTGAATTCAGAAGTTCATATGGATACTAGCATGGAATCTAAAGTTTACACTGTAGATCAGCTCCGTCGAGCTGGAAACTCTAACATGACAAGAGGTCCAAGGCCACGAGGAACTAAGCTGTGCACTCACTGTGGCAGGACAAATCACACGGGGTGGATACATGTTATGCCAAGCATGGATATCCTCCAGGTTTCAGATCTAGATTCAAGAGTGCCTCTATGAATGCTGTTCTGGATGATGGAAGAATTGAAGAAAGTGGTGCACCAGATACAGTAACCATGATTCAACAACAATACAAGAATATATTGGACATGTTGGAACGAACACAAGTTCACGAAACTGGTGAAACTTCAAGCAATCATGCTGTTAACATGACTCAAACACCTTCAGCAACAGCCTTTGCTACTCCTATTGGCCCACAAAACTCTGGTAAGACAGATACACATTGGATACTTGACACAGGTGCAACAGATCATATATCCTGCATTTCATCTTGCTTCATTTCTTTACATGAGATAAAATCGATTCCTATTACTTTCCCTAATGGTTCAAGCATCATAGCTCATTATTCTGGATTTGTTCGAATTTCATCAAATCTGATTATGTGTGATGTATTATTTGTTCCAGCTTTCTGTGTAAATCTGATATCAGTGGCCAAACTAACTCAATGTCATAATTGTGAACTAATTTTTCGTGATTATGCATGTTGGATCAAGCAGATCAAGTCATAGCAAGTGATTGGTTCAGTAAGTTGCAGAATGGACTTCTCATATTGGAACAATGCAATAGCAGAAATGTAGAAGAAAATGCAGCTAATGCTCATGATAGTAGATATGTAAATAATACTTCAACAGATGCCTCTTTGTTATGGCATCTGCGTTTAGGACATACCTCAAATACTGTAATGAAGACCATGTGTAACAGGTTTCCATTTACCAGTCCCTACAAGAACTATGCCCCTTGTGATATATGTCATATGGCAAAGCAAAAGAAGCTGCCATATAGTGTAAGTACTAGCAGAGCCTTATAGGCTTTTGACCTCATCCATGTAGATATATGGGGTCCCTTTTATGTTCCATCTATTACTGGATACAAATATTTCCTCACGGTTGTTGATGATTACTCAAGGTTCACTTGGGTATTTTAATACATAATAAAGGAGAGACTAGATTGCATCTGCAGAATTTTGTGACACTGATAAAAAATCAGTATGGAATTTCAGTTAAAACCATTAGAAGTGATAATGGACAAGAGTTCTTAATGAATGAATTCTATGCTTCTAAAGGAATAATTCATCAAACTTCATGCGTGGAGTGCCCTCAGCAAAATGGGATAGCAGAGAGAAAACATCAGCACATCCTTAATGTAGCTCGTGCATTGATGTTTCAATCTAAAATTCCATTAAAATTCTGGTCTTTCTCAATTTTGCATGTTGTACATTTGCTTAATCGGACAACTAGTCCTTTGTTGCATAACAATACACTGTAACACCCTGTGTATACCTGGTTTGTTAACATGTCATCGTATTAAGTCACGCTTAATTAAAAATGCGAAATATCTTTTTCTTTTCAATTATGACGTCATTATCATTACCAAGTTAAATCACTTAATTCATTTCCAAAACATTGTCTGTATGTAAATTGCAAAAGACAACTATCTACACTTAATAACCTCATATATATAAATCATTAACTGTGTCTCTAGTCACGGCACTACAACACGTAGGCTGGACAAACCCTGGTAGTTTACATAACTCAAGTCTAAACAACGATACATAATCAAATGTGGCATGGACAATCCCCATGCTCACCAAATAAGACAACAAGGCCCAACAGAGTCTCAACAATAACAACATAATTATAAAGATAACATGTCAGCATCCAACATATAATCATAATAGCAAACATCTAACTCAGCTCCGGCCTCCTGCCGCCCGAGGTCTCAACCCCTGAGTTACCTGAACCTGAAATATGTACCCCAAACGTGGGGTGAGATCTCTAAACAGAAATCTCAATAAGACAAGAGATCCTCAAGGATCTTCCACCCCAAGCTCACTTACATGTGTAATATAAGTTCCAAAAGCAGTTTAACAGTATAAGTTCCAAAATCAGTGCAATGCAGCAGATAATCATGTCATGTGTGTTATAACTAATCTACTGGCCAAAGAAATGCAAGAATACGTCTATTACCCACACTAGTGCAAGACGCCACTTGCACCCACCCACAGTGTCACCATCTTGTATGACGCCACATACTCAGGCTTACCGTCTAAGTGGAACAACACATACATATTAAAAGCAATTGCACATAAAGCTCAACAACATTTTCAATTATCAAAGCATGTAAACACATCATGCATATAAACCATTTCCTCATGGGGTATGGTGGAACCACATAATGACTAAACCGAGGACACGAAAGCTTACCTTGCAAGCTAATTATCCAAGCCAAGAGTCCGCACAAGCTCAAAGTCCACTCACAGCAGAATCACTATCTGTTTTGGACCAGCAATCATATCAATATTCAAGCACCACAAGCATATGACATAAAGACAACGCTTTTCCTTTACGTTTCATGTCTTTAGGCTTCTCACAAAGTCATAAGCCCTTAATCACTCAGATTCTGACTAAGCTTAATCATTACAGAAGTTCCACTTAATCAATCTAGGGTCCACAAACCCCTAACACAGTTCTGTATGAACAGTACAGACCCTGCCTCGAAATTCCCAGAATATTCAGATATTTGTCAGGGGCATATCCGGGTATCCCATATCCGGATATGCATATCCGGATATCATATCCGGATATCCATATTCGGATATCACAAGACCTCATATCCAGATATCAATATCCGGATATTTCGCGACAGAATACAGTTTCTGCATTTCACGAGATATCACTCCAAAGATTCCATTTTTAACACTTCACAACGTTAAAGCATACATCTTTAAACCCCTCTAGGTCAGTTATCACGTTGGTTACTTGTTTATCTTATTAAACATGGAAATACTCCAGTTTTACCCATTAAAACTCATGATCAAGGTTGGTAACACTTACCCAAGGTTCAAACAGAGCAACAATGGCTCTTGGAGCTCACCACCAAGTCCTCACAGTTTTGACTTTGCAAAGAAACGAAAATGACAACAAAGCAAGGTCCTTTCTTCACAAAGATCACTCATTGGAGCTCCCACAACCAAGGAAATGTCCCAACACCCAAACAAAGAAACTCAGCCCACAACCTCAAACCCACAGTGGCTGGACACTCAGAAAATGGCTACCCCTCACCCTCACAATGCTACTCACAAGTGTTTACAAAGAGAAAGAGGGAAGAATCAAGCAAAAGATGACAACTTGGCTCACAAGAGGGATGGGGAGGCAATGGAACAGTGTCAAACAGACCAGACTCCCAAGGTGCACGTAGAAAAACTGATATGGCCTAAGGTTAAAAGTCAAAGATGAGTATTTATAGCCAGTTTAAACTTAAACGTATTGTATTAGCGCTAATTGCTACGCTTAGCATTTTAATTTCAAACTTAGGATTATGAACCTACTCATTTTTTTAAGATTTATCATATTTTTATTTTATTTTTTGCAACACCTTTTCGGTACGCGCTTTTACATAGCCAGTATCAGTTCTGGCACTAGTTCTCATTATTTTAACTTGAAACTTGAAATCACAGTCCTATATATTACTCTAGGAATATTCATGCACTTATTATAATTTTCTGGGATACTTCATCAGTACTCATTTATACCGAGTAGCAGAATCGATATCTGCACTTTTCGTCCGGAAAGCGACTTTCAGCATTATTACTCACTTACCAATATTATTTAAGCCTTATCATAATTATTAGGGTCAATTATGAAATTATTTTCTAATTTCTCATAATTAATTAATTAACTTCCTTAATTAACGGTGCGGGTTCTTACATACACCATATGAACTCCTGTATGAATCTCCACCTATGCTGATCCACTTGAAGGTCTTTGGATGCTTATGCTTAGCCAGCACTCTCTTATCTAACAGAACCAAGTTCAGCCCACGAGCACGAAAATGTCTGTTTCTAGGATACAAGGATGGAACAAAAGGGTATGTGTTGTATGATCTAAACTCACATGACATCTTTGTATCTAGAAATGTGGTCTTTCATGAGTTGCATTTCCCTTATAATGATAGTGGAACTAAAATTCCACCTAATGACACACCTGTCATGCCAATATGTTTAATATGTTCTGAAACCATGCAAGATGATGTGTTGGCTCCACTTCAACCAGCTGTAGACAATGAAAGTGACACGTCCATAGCCCCAACTAATGACAACACCTCACCTTTGCATGTCAACCCACATCCGTCACCTAACCCGATATCCTATGCCTCACCAAAAGATTTCCCTGACTCACCCATACCACTATTAGTTCCCCTATCCTCTCCTCGGGTAAATCAGTCCAATCCTCACAATCTTTCCAACTCACAACAAGCTCCAAGACGTTCTACCAGAACACTTCCAAGCCATCTACAAGATTTCATTGCACATTCACATCCAAAACACCCTATCCTCTATCATATGTTTTGTCCTATGATAAATGTTCCCCACATCACAAAACTTTATGTTTTAACCTTCATACAATTTCTGAACCTCAAACTTACTCTGAGGCAGTCAAAGATCCAAGCTGGTGTGATGCTATAAATGCTGAAATCTCAGCCTTTGAAGAAAATCACACATGGACTCTCACTGATCTCCCTGCTGGAAAGAATTCCATTGGCTATAAATGGGTACTTAAGATTAAATACCATGCCAATGGAAATATTGAACGATACAAAGCTTGGTTGGTTGCAAAGGGGTACACTCAACTAGAAGGAGTTGACTTCCTTGACACATTTTCTCCAGTTACAAAAACTCCATTATTCGTATACTTCTGAGCATTGCAGTTGCACGCGGGTGGATCCTGGAATAGCTGGATGTGAACAACGCATTCCTCTATGGTGAGTTGAATGAATAGGTCTACATAACACTACCTCCTGGAGTTCAATCTACAAGGACCAATCAAGTTTGCAAATTAAAGAAATCATTGTATGGCTTGAAGCAAGCTAACAGACAATGGTACTCTAAACTCACATCTGCCTTGCTGTCCATTGGATACAAACAGTCTGAGGCAGATCACTCTCTCCTTCTCAAGTCAAGGCAAGGATCATTTACTGTTATGTTAATATATGTTGATGAC